ACGTAAAGACAATAAACTTCATTGATTGATTGATTGATTATTGATTGAAGAGAAAGCTTTGAGGACCAGTCAGTTATTTTTCAATTTCTGGCGTGGACTTCTCGCTAAGTGCGTGGGAGAAATTTCCGTCATATTAAACCGCGAAAAGCCAGAAAGAATATTCCTTGTTAATGTTTTGTTCACGAACAGAGAATTATAAAAATCAGTAATCTCGAACCGCAAAAATACAGAATATCGCTAATCTATAAAGTAAAACTCCCGAAAATTTTGAGTACGAAACGGAAAAATACAGAATATCGCTAATCCACAAAGTAAAACTCTCGATATTTTTCAATACTAAATGGTCGGGGATTCCTTTGCGCTTTAAACTTTGAATTTATACTATTCGTTTATTTTGCCGTTTGTTTTGTGCAGATGCTTAACAGATCCTTTGAGTTATGTCTTAAAACTTACGGCGAGAAGCACATGTTGACTCTGAGGCTCTATCTGAACATTGGCATCTTATACGAAGACAACAGAGATTTCCAGAAGGCCTATGATTACTTTGTTAAATGGCATGAAACGTGTCAAGAGGTGAACGAATCATTTAAATGACATTTGTCCCAATCAGAAATGAAAGGGAATGTGGTGTAAGCTTTTTCCGGGGGTACAGCCAGAAAAAGAGAGCGAAATAGAGAACGGCGCGATAGTAGCGGCAGTGCGAAAATGAGGGAGTCCTGGGTCGAGTCGACCCAAACCTCCCTCGTTTTTTCACTTCGTCCCTTCTATCCCGGCGTTTCTAATGTAACGCGAGGTAATGTTGCCGCCTGAACCTACACAAAACGATTATGATGGTCCAGCTTGTTCGAGGGACAAGTATTGTGACCCTAACTTTCATGTTACAATGTCCAAAAAGCTACAGTGAACTATTATGCTTAGAAACATTAAGGTCAAACATACAGGAAATGATGATCAACAAGAGTTCTTGATTGTTAAACAAATTCTCCTTATCAGCGCATAGGGAAATGTGTAGAGAACAGTTTGGAGAATATGCATGCTGATGTTAGGGTGGGGAAGGTTGAGATATTTTGCTTCCAATCCTTTTTAATCCTTCCCATCCTTGGCTATCCTGGTTCTTTCTTGGTTTATGATTGCTTCTTCTGACTTTTTCTTCGTCGTGCCGTCTTATCTTTTGAGATATCTTTTGCTGATGGAAAAATTTTTTCTCCGTAAAGTGTGGGTGTCTAGCGTGGTTATTTGACTCTAAAATTTTATTTTCATTTGTATCCTGTCATTGAGGAATATTAGGCCACAGTTTCAGCTGACATTTATTTTTATCCTTCCATGTTCAGGTTCTGGGACCTTCACACCCCAAAACAGGGCGCGCCCGCGATACTTTGAACGAAGCCGCGTACGTTCGTATCCGGGAACAGAGAGAACGGCAGGCCGCTGGCACGGCCTAAGGGATCACTGGCGTCAGTTATTCACTCAATACACATTCACCTACGCACCTATAATTTCAAAGCAACACTTGGGTCAGATTTAAGAGAAGTGGTAATCGATTAGAGATTCGGACAGTACTGACTTTTAGTAACCGCTATAACGACGACTTTGGGTCTAAAGGGCTGAAAAAAAAAGACAACTTTTATTTCGTCTACTTGCTTTAAAGAAGCAGTGGTTGAGTAGCAGGAAAACTTTCACCTCCATCTGGTTAAGCGTAATGAGTCCTAGACGCGGTTTTGGTAAAGTGTATCACTCCAGGGTTACACTTTTCAGTTTGCCACCAGTTTTCCTTCCGCGTCAAAAGCCGCCCTTGTTTTGTTTTCTTTTTTTTTTTAATGAGCCCTCCTTCTCTCTAAGAAGGCCTGTCCCACACTCCCTCTTCCTATTGAATTCGCTGGAAATCACTAAACCTCACGTTTTTAAAACATAAATACCCGTTCAGGTAACGGGTGTAGCGTGTAGTCACTTTTCCACTTATTGAGTAGCTGTGTTTCTTGAGTGATGTTTACGAAGTCGAAGTTTACGTCCTAGAACCACAGAATTAGATGCTCAAAATAGTGACTCAAAAAATGTAGCATTTTCTCGCCAGCGTGGTTTTGTGTTTGTCTCGAACCAGCTCTCGAGTTAAGTATAGCCCCCCTGGAAAGCTGGGGAAAATTTACTGTTTTGACTTCAACACCTCGTCATTGTATGCAAGCAGCAACACCAAAATAGAAAAATCCATACCAGTAAATCACGATTGCAAAGTTCGTAACGATTTTTGCAAGCCTCTGTCGCTTTCTGTGGTTATATAAAGAGCGAGTTTAACGTTTGTTCATATTTAGCTTTAGTTTACAATTTTTCGAACTCGAGTCTGGGCACTAAGATGTCCAAGTTATTACCTTAGGTGAATCCTAATAAAATATTGAAAGATATTCCATGCTGTACAGTTCAGCCAAACCCTTTACGTGTCGTCTTTTTTTAATCGGAGTTACCATGATGAATGTATGCGTAGCAAAGGAGAGGCAAACTTTCCCTAAGCTTGGATTTGGAAAACTGGACTTTTCTAGGGTTTTTACTTAAAAAAGTTTGCTACATTTTTCTCGCTCGCCTGTATCAATTGCGAGTTCTCCATCGACGAACGACTTCCCTCCCTTCTCCTCCATTTCCTTTTAACAGACTGTGCTTTTGCCACTAAATGAAAGTTCCCATATAATCAAGAGAAATTTTATGTCGTCACGAACGAATAACGAAAAAAATAGGAGTTCCGTAGAATCTCCAAAGCGCTTTTGAAAATTTTCTGCCGGTATAGTTCAATTTGTCTTACATACCGTGGACACCTACAAAACGTGGAAGTTCTGTAGTCTCGTGGAGTCCTTCATCAACACATCGAAATCTTGAATATCCTCCCCCAATTTAGGCCATCTGGGTCTTTAATTATCATTATTCCTTCCATTTTTAGGTTTTGTTTCGTTTAAGCCATTTCATTCTCATTTTTGCGCCGAAAGAGAACATTGTAGGGACTTTTTGCCGACTCAGTTATTTTCTGCAAACAGGCTGGATACCTTGTGAACAGTTAACGGTTCATTCACGAGAAACGAGAAATAACAATGGAAACTCCACCAAACCAAACGATCTACATAAACAACCTCAACGAGAAGGTTAAGAAGGATGGTGAGTATATCATACCGAAACAGAATTAGACACAAAACTCTTCAGCTTGCTACTGTAGTAACTTGTAGTGCTCGAGGTCGAAGCGTTTTGAGACGTTCCTCATCTGAATGATCTAATGCAAAACAATGTTGCGGGTAACAGCCTTTTTTATTAAAATCACTTTCACTTTTAAATTGCACAATCTCTGAGAGAACTACATTGCGACATACGTACGCGCTCAAATCCAAAATTACTCCAAATTTAAGGCTGTGGACGTGGACATCTGTTTACTTTCATGTTAATTCTGGCCTACACTTGTAGCAATTCGTGCTATTTGCGGATCAAAACGTTACTTAAGACTCGCTTTCTGTGTTAGCTGAACCTTTAATTCCAAGATCGATTATATAAATACGTCAGACACTATCAGCAACAAATTTCGTTTCGATTTCTACCTTTGTTTTCATCATGTTTTCACAGTGCGAACAGTGAATGAACGTGACTCGCTCCTCTCCTCCTTTGACTAACCCCCCTTAGACCACACAGTGAACGTCCTTTTAGGGAGAGAGGGTAGAAATGAGACTTCACACTGAGAGTATGTTTGTATTTTACAGTTGGAAGAATAACTGTTGCCTGAATCACATGCACTCTCCTGTGGAAAGAAAAAAAGGACTTGGCCTCTAAACCCTTGAGAGTAATTAGCATCTAAATTTTCCATACAGTATCACCCCTGAATCACACATTGAGGTGATCAGAAAAATGAAAATGATCAACAACTACAGGAACTCTTGATTGATTAGCAAATTCTTCTTGTCAGCATTTTAAGAAACATATAGAGAACAGTAAAGAGAAAATATGAATACTGTTGTTAGGGTGTTAAAGTTAAGCGACAAGTCAAACAGCTCTCTGGTTGTCGTCATGCTTGCCACAATATTTTCCATGTCATTAACCAATTCATGTGACATACAAAATCTCCCTTGACTGTTAGTGACTCCACCTGGGTTTGTTGCATACTAAATCACTGACAACAATCCTTTTTGAACTACTCTTGCACAGACAAACAGGTTACAGAATCAACAAGAATTTTTCAATTAATGTGTAGCTAAGAGCTGCAAATTCCTGAAAAACTTTTGACTTGTGAGCTTGATCGTGACCACACCTATCATCTTTCTTGATCCCCCTAGGGACACAAGTCCCTCATGTCATCCTTTGAAATGACTAGAATCACCCAGCTGGCCTCCCATGACATCAGTTACATTATTGTATGAAAATAATTTAAACATAATTTAATTCTGTGTATTTTCTACCTAATTCTGCCTTTTTTTGTCTCATCCCCAGAATTGAAGAAGTCACTGTATGCCATATTTTCACAGTTTGGTCCAATTTTAGACATTGTAGCACTGAAAACTCTCAAAATGAGAGGTCAGGCGTTTGTAGTGTTTAGAGACTTGCCGAGCGCCACCAATGCACTGCGCTCCATGCAAGGGTTCCCATTTTATGACAAACCTATGGTAAGTTATTCTCCTATAAAACCCACAAACTCTTCTGCTGTCTCGGTATGTATGTTGTGGTTTGATCATAACTAGACAATTTTGCTTTTTAACCCTTTAAACTGAAGATCCAATTATTAATCCTCCCCATTTCTAATTCTTCCCTACAAACCTTAGGACCTTTCTTTGTGCCAAGCAAGTTTTTTTACACAATCAGACAGATAACTATATTAATTGGTCTATAGAAAAATTTTTTTACCACCACTGGGTGTATTAGAATGCTGATGAAATTTCTTTTATTTGCTTATCAATATGGAAAAAAATACACAGGCTGAATTATCTACCTTTCATTAAAGTATGTAGGACCTGTTAATGTTCAAATACTGAAATTTTACCTTGATTCAAAGAACATATTTCACCTGTTATTTTTGAGTATTTTCTGAAACGTTTCCAGAAATAGAACCCTAGTTATAAACAGTGTTCAGACTGCTTGTAAAAGTAATGAATTTAATTTTTGTCCATACAATTTTTGTGTGAGGGATATTTGACAAGGGAGAAACTAATTGTCACGAGGCTTTGAAATGAATACATGTGGCTTTGTCACTTTTTACCAACTGCATTTTACAGCCCTATCATGCTATGTTATGCAATGGTGCAATATTTTTTGCACATCTGCATCTAGAAAGGTTTGATGGATAGAGATCTTTTTGGAATATGATGTAGGTCTCTTTAATATTTTCTGATCATGTTGCTTTTACTAGAGAATACAATATGCCAAGAGCAAGTCTGATGCAGTAGCCAAAAAAGATGGAACGTTTGTTCAGAGGGAGAAAAAACCCAGAGAGAAGAGAAAGGCTCCAGAACAAGGTAGAGAGTACATTAAACGATATTCTTTCACTTTTGACACAAGAGAGTCCCTTCAGCCATATCAGCATATAGAGCAATTTAAACATCTGTCATCTGCTTTTCAGCTCTAGTTATGATATGAAAAATTTTTTGGACTGTTGACGACAGGAGAGGTTTTCGTAATTAGTTGTTTGAATCTTATGAGAGATTGGTTGAAAGGTATTGGGCAGAATCGGAGGACTGTGGTTGGGGAAAACCTGGTTTTGAATTTAATCATTCCAATGTCTGGATTGAGTGATGGACAATTTGAAAATTAAAAAATAATTGTACAAATCCCTTAATTACACAAGCATTGCATTTAGCAGAGGCTGTTTTATAGCTTCAATTTTTTGTGGGTGAAATTTTTATTCTTTATTTTGGTGGAAGAGTAGTGTGAGACAAAAATAACTTTGAAGTTTAAGGGGGAAAAATTGTCAGAAACAAACACAGGATACCTGCATATACATGTATGTTGTACAGAATACAGGGAATCAAACATCATTTTAAACAGTGTGAAAACTGGAGTGTTTTTTTTCTTTTCCTCAATTAAGGCATGCTCCTAATGAGAAAGTTATTCATTCTGACCATCAAACATGTTTCTGAATGTTTATATATATTTTTTGTGACTCTGACAACAGCTAAGCCTGCCAAGCGACAGCCAGCAGCCCAAGCTACCTCAACAGCTGTGGTTCAGCCTTTAGTTGCCCCAGTTGCAGCAAATGGTAATACTGTCCACAGTAACATCTTAACAATGGCTGTACTTTTGTTAATTCCATTACAATTGTTTTACTAGATTTTGCCTTTCTCCCAAGATGTTGCTTCATAGCTCAGTCAATTATAGCAATCAACTTCTGGAAGGCACTGGTTCAAATCAGTCAAAGCATGACCTTTTCTAAGGCTTCTTTCTGCAGTTTCTCTGCTTGCAGCTCACCTCAGGATCTTTTGTCTAGTTGGACTTATTAGCAAAATACTGTAGCAGGTTACTATGATCATCAGATGTGATGTTTTTGTAAAATGTGTATTAGGTTGTAGTCAGGTTTTAATGTTTCTGTTTGTTGATTTTGTTTTGTTTTGGTTCCACAGTCATCCCAACTCCAGTGCAGGCTGCGGTGGCAGCACCAGAACAGCCCAACAGTATTTTGTTCTTGACAAACCTGCCCATGGAGACTACAGAGATGATGTTGTCAATGTTGTTCAACCAGTACCATTGCCAGACTATAGCTCTCTTGATTGTTGTACAACCATTATTACTTACCCTTTACAACCTGCTATCAGTTTGCAAGTTCTCCATACTGTTCTCTACACATTTCCTATAGTGCTGACCCGGAGAATTTGTGGAACAATCAAGAGCTCCTTTAGTTCATGATTCAAGAGTGATATTGTACTTGGTGAAATCAGATGCTGGTTACTCTAGGGGGTCTTGATTGTAAAACAAATTCTCCTTGTCCACACCTCAGGAAATGTATGGAAAACAGTATGAAAAGTATGCATACTGTTGATTAAAGGACATGAAAAACCCAAATGTTTGGCGATTCAAATTAATGGCGTTCAAGTTAGTTGAATTGTGAAGTTTTAGCCCCACTTTTTTTTTGTTGTTGATCTTTGTTTATTTGGAAATGGTTCAATTATTTTCAAAGTTTAATATTTTAAGTGGCTACAAGTTTACTTGTTTTGATGAAAAGTTGTTCCATTGATTTAAATGACAGTATTCTTGCTATTTTGTGTCCTTTTTTGTCCTTGGCTCTTTACTGTCACAGGTTTCCAGGATTCAAAGAGGTTCGTTTGGTGCCAGGACGCTCAGATATCGCTTTTGTGGAGTTCGAAAATGAAGTGCAATCTGGAACTGCCAAAGATGCTTTGCAGGGATTCCGAATCACTCCATCGAATGCCATGAGAATTACCTATGCCAAGAAGTGATTGGCATAAAACTCAGTTCTTTTTACATTTTCCAGGAGAATGCTATTGTATACAGCCTTTTACTGTTCGAATTTTGTTGCAAACAGTAAGCTTGGCATTCATTTACCATTTTGTCTTACATTTAGGAGATGTTGTGTGGTTACTTTTAACTAACCATAGTTGAAGTTGGTGGTGAGAACTTCCAATTCCTGAAATGCAGTTTTACTCCTGACGTTTTTTATAATTAGTAAAGATCAATTTTTTAGCAGCATTGCACTCTGCTGCCATTTATAGACTTTAAGGTGCAGCATTGCATGCATTTCTGCATTTTACTTTCTGTTCTTGTTCAGATTGCAGCATCGCACATTGCTGCTCTGTGTTATGAATTTGTAGAATTGAAAGCATTTTGTATTACTTTTCTGTGGACTTACCCATTTTTTTCTTTTTAAAGTAGCATTTAGCATTCTCTTATTTTAGATTGCAGCGTTGCACAAGGCTGTGATACGTATACTTAATGCTAAATATTGGTACCCGATGATGGTAAATTGAGCTGATACACTGTAAGCATTGCACATTAGCTGAAGTGACAGAACATGACAAGTTGTCCTAGCATTGCACATGGCTGGGGCCAGTCAGTGATACTACACTACTATAACCCATCTAGACCTTGAAGAAGCAATCCCAAAAGTAATCAATGCTTGCTTTAGGTAGAAACTTGTACCTATTAAAAACACTGTTCTTGGCAAGCCTTTATTTGCATTGTCTTTTTTAACTGTAATGCAAATTGCTGTCTTTTTTGGCACAATTTTGGTCTTGGGTCCACAATGATATAGTAGCACAAGGGAATAAATTCACAAAGCGGTAAACACCTGGCCAAGAGTAGTATTTTGGTATCAGTTACTGATCACATGAAATCCTCTAGAGTTTTGATCCTTTTTATGGACATCAATGCAGCTTAGCATTTTCTTCAAGCTTTGATGCCAGCACCCACTTCCACATTGAAACTACTAGTATTCCAATTACCATTAATAATGGACAGCTCCACAAGAGAGGCAGGGGTCTATTCTATTGTTTCATATTGGAAGCTAATGCAAATTGAAAATTGCATAACAGATTAGCATCAACCATTTTCAGAAAATCATCAGACTGGCTGGCATAATTATATTAGGCCCATCTTCCATTCAAATTTTAGGTTATTGCAAAGGGTTTGCTCTCCTTACATGTGACAGGCCTGGGAGATTTATATGCTTGAACAAGGAAGTAAATGTTACCAAAAGGACATAAAGACAGCAGAGTGACAATAACTCTCAAAAAAGAAACAACTTTGCATATTTACAAGCACCTGCAATCATCAAGGGCTTGTCTTGACTCTTGTGATACTGAATGTTTCGCGATCTTAGATTCTGCCGCTTCAAAATACCAAATTAAGATCAAAGAGGCATTGCATATTAAGTGAGAAAAACCTATCCTTAATCAGCAATTGAAACATCTAGAATTGTCTCTTTCCTTTTAATTATGTTGTTTCTTGGTCTTTTAATTTATTTTCATTTATTGATCTAGTCAAGCTGCACTATTTACATTTTTTGCGTTTTTAACATTCAAATGTTAAAAGCCCTGACACGTAGTTTGTAACGTACCTCAATATAAATTCAAATGTACAACAGTTAAATGCTCATTTGCAACTGAAGATATGAGAATGTCGAAACATGTCTTGTAAATTTAAACTCAAAGTTGTGTCTTTTTTGAAAGTAAATGTTACATAAATTCTAGAAAGGCAGAGGGTAAGAAAATTTGTGAAGTTGAATTTATTCTGATTTTGTTTTTAAAGACAGGTCACTGGATACCCAAAGTTTACAACAATCACATTTCCTTAAAATTATTGGTGATTCTTGAACCCCAACATGCAAACGGCCATTCAATCCACATTCGTGAAATCACTTTCAGGTGAATTTAGTACCCATTCACTTTCTTTTTCCCTTGAATCAGAAAACATTTATCAAATGTAGGGAGCAGAGGTTTTCAGGGGAGAGACATCCGAGTGGGAGATAAAGAGGACAATGTCAGGGTGTCAAGTGACACTTAGAAAATAGACAATTTATCTAACCATTACCGCAGTAGGGTAGCACTAGAATGGAATATATGCGAACCATGCGAGTAGACCACCCAATAAATCCCACCCCAGGGAAGGATATCCATCACACAGTAATCTCGTGCGTGGGAAATTAACGTCTCCCACAAAAATAGGAATAACAGTGGCTAAAAAATAGGAAATAAATAGGAATTCTTACCCCAAAATAGGAGGATTTCTTTGAGTTCTATCCTCTTAACACTCCCTACAGAAACTCTCTTCCACAACCCAACTCTTTAATATTTAACAGGCACCATGACATACATCCATAATGCATTGCAGCCCAACTTCAACATGGCAAATGCACATACATGTAAATAAACCTCCCAGAATCCCTTGCATGTTATCAAAAGCCTGTGCACTAGTTTCAGAAGAAAATCACTCATAAAGGCTTCAAACTGGTCTTTCTTGACATGAAGTTTTAGTTTTTTGTAGAATTTATCAATTTTATTTGCAATTTTATTTCAAAATGTTTCTGTAAACCTAGTAAAACCCTAAAAAATTAGGAATTTCACGAAAAAATAGGAGAAAATAGGAACTTGACACCCTGCAATGTAACATGACAAAAGAGTTGATGGTTTGAATATTTTATTTCTATATTTTCTTCATTGAGGACCAAGGTTTATTCCTCCTGAAAAAAAGCAAAGAGAATGAGCAGTTGTCAGTTTGAAAACATTCCATGTAATTTCATAAAGGTAGGGTGATTTTTGCAAATGAGATTATTTCATTATGTCACAACTGCACCTTCACTCGATCAAAATATGTTTGTCAGCCATTTAACCTTAATAAAATCAACTAGATTATTGACAAACAAAGTGTTTTAAAACTTAATTCAAGTTTTCATTAAGTTGGAAGTTGTCTCAGGAATACCGAATTCTGAAAACTTAGTTCAAGTCTACATATTCTGGTTATAGCACCTGACTTGATTTCAAGCAAGTGTTGTTGGTTTGAACCCACAGAATATTTTACTGACTGATAGAAAGAGTCAGTTATTGTCTGATGACCACATTTTACTATGTCAAATAAGAATGAAGCAACCAAAAAGAAAACTGCAAGTCAACAGAAAAGAAAGAGCATGCATTGGCATCCTGTAGAACTAAGGAAATGCAGTTTTGTCAAAACGCAATTGAAATCAAATTGTTTAAAAGCAGCTTAATACCTACCGGTATCTCAATTTCATTGTCATTGATCTTATCAATGATGTCATGAGGAGGCTGGCCATCTACTGTGCAGCCAACTGACTGACATGTTCCAAGGATCTCCTTGACAGTGCCTGACAGTTGACGAGCCATTGATCTTGGCCTCATGGTTTTGGCAATCTCAATAATTTGATCCAAGGTCAAATTACCATTGTGTTTGACTGTTGAATGTAAAAAAGTTAAGTTGGCTATATTACGACAATATTTCACTTATCCGTTCCTTATTGGTTGTTATGCAATCCCCTACATAACACCTGAGATAAACTCAGCTGAAAAAACCTCCCATCAATTTAAACCATTTAAACAATAACTGGAGTTCTTTTTCAAAGCTAAACCAAACTCTGAGAAACTGTTGCAGAAACTTTGCATTGAGGAATGTCAAGCATGCAATGGTATCCACAGAAGCAGGAAACAAGCCCTTTCACTTTTATAGAAACTTGAATATCTACATGTATGCTCAACTCATTCAGCTTGCATTTTGGGTGCATCTCAAACACAGTTCTTTCAACTGTAATCTAAAGCATACACAAAAGTCAGTGTTTCCCTTGAGCTCCTGTGATCTTGAACAATTTTACTTAATTCCACAGAATTCTAGCCTTCACTACTGAAAGTTGTTCACAAGGTTGTCACCACCAACTGGAGAGTTGACAACCAAAAATAAGTGTGCTACAACCAGAATTAAGCAATAGAATGGTTTGAATAGCAATTTATAAAAATAACTGAGATACTACAAGGCTATGCTCTAAGGAAAATTGAATGGAGCCCAGTGCACTGAAACTGTGAAATCCAGGGTGCCCAGCATATGCTTTTTATGAAAAAACTAAAATTCCCGAGTCACCCAAGAGCAAAAGTAAGGTGCCAGGGGCACCCAGGTGCTGCTAAGCTACAGCTTTGTACTAGGAGCACCCTGATTGTTAAAAAATCTACTGTTTAAAGCACAGGTAAACACATAAAAAAAAATTGAAGCATTTTAAGAATTTTTTATAAAAGCAATAGAACACACTTTCTATCAGTTTACCAGGACAATAACCCACTTGGGATGTTGGGTGAGTACTCAAAAAGTTTGAAAAACACAGCTGAAGGTGAGTGAATCACAAAATTTACGGGTGCTCTCCCAATATCCCTTGTAGGTAATTAGATTACAGTCTATTGCTAAAATAATAATGATGATAATAATAGTAATACTAATACAATGAATATATGAAGTTCATATATTTTGAACTGTGGTATTAAATACATATGATGCACAAACAGGGAATGCTGTGTCTCTATAACTCTTCTACCAACCAGAGTGCATGTGACATCACTCCTATTATAAACTGATTAACCCAAAGGACAGCATCATTCACCTACTAAAAAGTAAATTACTTACTGTTTTTGACCTTCTTGCGATCCCTTTGTGGTTCTTTCAGAGCTCTGATGATCAGTGAGGATGCACTTGGCACAACTGAAACCTTAGCCTGTCTGTTCTGGATCGTCAACTGGACAGTGATACGTAACCCCTTCCAGTCCTGTGTTGCCTTGGCGATGTCATCTCCAACTTTCTTGGGGGACTGAGAGTTAAATAACAAATGATGCAATTTTAATAAATGGTAAAGTAGCATGTGTGGCATCGTTATCAATTTTTATTATATTTCTGTTGATCGGTGAGCGTAGGTTTGCATTTCTATGGCTTAATATGGTTTAAGTGAGGATGTGCATTATAAAACAATTTAAGAATTTTAACACGTGTGGTACCTGCGCTAAGATATTTCAACACGACTTTACTGCTACTATTAAAATATGAGAATAAATTCATCAGAGCCGAGTGAAAAGCGAAAAAAGGTATTATCTTTCTCACCAGGCCAAGAGGACCGATCTTAGGTGCAAGAGCAGACGTGGCACCAACTTCTCCACCGGTTGCTCTGAGGTAGACTAACACAAAAATACACTTTTACAATACTATAATTAGAGAAACTCAGGTCGAAGTTGAACGATTTAATTCCATGTAAACAACTTACTGATTTTGATCTCGTTAGGATCGAACTTAGGAGGCATGTTTCTCAAGGATTGAGGTGTGATTTAGGTCTGATGGCTGTGTGGATGAGTTTTTTCAAACCCGACCAATTTCTCAATTAGACCGAGTGTTGCACAGCCACTGCGAAAGAGAAAGGAGAGAGGGAGAACATCCGGGATATACAGAGCGACGCGTGCAGAGAGGTCTGGGTCTTTGTTGTACTTGTCAGCGGTTATTCCCTTTAGGCGTTGTGGTTTATCGTTTTTATCTCAACGCATTCGAAAACAGCTTGAAAGGGTTAGAAATATGCAGATTTTCGTCTGTGTGATATTTTCAACTTTTTATAGCTTTAAGTAGTAAACCTGTTGTTTATATTTGCCACTCGTGGTGGCACTAACGGTCACTGAAACCTTCTAAAGCGATCGGTATCGTCGGGAGACACTTTATAGGACACCACGGTAAGCGATTTCACACTGTGGTCTTATTCAAATCATTCAGAATGATGCGGCTATCACACTCGACTTGCTTCGTTGAATACTTGCAGGAAGGGCGTTCATTGAATATTTCTGGATTGTTTAAGAAACCGTTCACATTGGGACATAATGAATCTTAAACAAGCTGGTTGGATAGGTGAGGAAATCTGCTATTAAATCTCAGAGTACAAAAGTTCACATAATTTGCTCGTGTAGCGTTATACACTTAGCGAGAAATTCTTCATCACAACGCAAAATTTATCGCCAAAGAGCAGGCATGACTTTCTTGCTGATCCAAACGTTTGTAAATTATATCTAATTTGCGTTTTTGTCTTCTTTTCTTACTTGGAGTTTTTGCCCAACTTCATTTGAAGTATTCTGTCAACAGTTGTCACATTTTAGTTACAGAAATGTATGACTTAATTATGTACACTCGTAAAATTAATTTTGTACTAGTGTCTCCACCGTCTTGAAAACAAAGTCTTTTTTGAATGGATCATAATGAAATTTACTCGTTTTCTTGTCTGTCCAATTGTGCACAGTTTATAAGAGAAATATGAGAGGATAAGTTAATACATTTAATTTTTTGAGTTGTATCTTCATGTGCGAATTCTTACTAAAAAAAAAGCCTTCTAGCAAACATGAAATTTAGACGAGGACCACAACAGGATCTCTTTGAAAAGGCAATATAACTGGACAGTATACATAATCCTTAACAAATTGATATCCTTCATTAAGGATATTGTAATAACATCAAGCTTCATCTAATATCTTTTTTTCAGGCATTCTGTTGATGTGCATGCAACTATGTAAAGCAGTCAATATCACATTAGATGCTACAGTTGGAATATTTCTTCAAAAAGAACTTCTTGTCCAAGGATTTACATCAAGTCCTTGTAAGTAGTGTTCATAATTCCATCCAAGCATCATCATAATATTTTTTCCAGGTCTGAGGTAACTTCAGGTCTGTCACAAAATTGAATAGGTTTATTAAACTTTGGTAAATTATAAGTGTGTATTGGCAATGTGAAAAAGTAGAGCTCTTTCATATTTACTACAAAATACCATTATTGTCCACCTGGACTCTATTATTAACAAAGTTACTTTCAGGGCTGAAACTCTGATTTCCAGTTCAAAGCCAAGTACATGAAGTACTGAATCACCAAATCTTCAAACAACTTCGCAGAACAGAAAAATGATGCTTTTTGCAAAGAAATCCTAAAACTTGTCAAATAAAGAGAACAGATATTGTATAAGGTCCTACTTAGAAAATGAAAGAAAAAAAAAACTGTGTTTTGAAGCTAGTCGAGCAGATTTCGGGTCACTGTTGTGGTTTTAAAAGCTCAAACTTACCACAAACCCATTGACAGCTTGTACACTCGACAGCCTTTCGATCCAAATGCAAAATGGCAGCCTGAAAATCTCGGGCACGCGCAGAAAGCAAAATTTCGAGATAGTTTTTGGGTTGAAAAGTAATGCCCCACTTATGACTTTTACTTTTCTCTCTTTCTCCTGCCCTTTTTTTCCCCTTTCCTTGCCTGAAGTTTCTCCTTACTTGCTGGAAATTTAGTAGGCTTCATTTTGGTGTAGAGATTATTTAGGAAACTACTCATTATTTTCAAACCACATGCTCAGAAAGGTAGGTGGGTAATAGAACAAGATTTTCGTGCGGATTTTCAGGTCAAAGTTACATGGTTTTTTGGCTATTTCTCCAATCTCCTTCACTTGATTGCAATCATTCTGGTATCGTTTCTAAGATATTTTCAACCTGTTCAAGTATGTGCTCAAAGTCGTGCTCCAGGGTTAAAAGTGATGACGTCTCAAGGCGTAGAAAGGGTGTGGGTCCACATGGGCGCTTATGGGCGTATTGGATGTCAATAGGTTAAATTGAATTCTCCAGCTAAATTTTGACAACTGGACCCCATTGTACATAGGGTGCCTGATAATGCTATTCAATAGATAAATCTCTATCCAGTGGATAAGTGATAGCAAAATGTACTGCATTACCCACCGCATAGAGATTTATCCAGTGGTTGTAGCATTATTCAATCTTCAAACAACCTGAGCCTGAACAATTCTTTGTTCAGACAAAGAGAATACTAATTCTTACAGCATGACACTGTTCTTCTGCCTCTATAGTTCTTCACGAGAACCTTTATTTTTGAACATCTCTTTATAATTAAGTAATACACATAGTCAGACTAACTGACTGACTGATCATTTTTTTTTTCTTCAAGCTGATCCTGTGAAGTTTATAGCTTCCACATCCGGATCTCCTGACCTCCCTACCTGGTTACGTTTTGAACAACGTGAAGCTTCAGACAGAGCGTTCATTTATGGCACTCCTGGGCGCGGTGTGCCCAGTCAAGTTGTTTTGGAGGTAAGACACTTTCAATAGTCACTGTGAAAACAGTGTGTGGCATTTGTACCTTCAGGATTGAGTTTGTAAGATACCCTTTTTTTGTTAACAATGCCCTTTTTCTCTGTCAAGCTCCCTTTCCAAAGTGCCCTCTGGAGGCCCATCCCCTGCTCTCTGATACAATCCTTTCCAATTAAGTCCTTGCTCTCCCCTCCCTCAACTCTTTAAATGTGCTCCTCCTGCCCTCTCCAAGAAACTTCTTGCCTGGAGGAGGTCTTGAAAGTTTGCAAGCTACTTCCCTCTGTGAGGGGGTTGCGGAGTTTGACTTAGAACATTTATGGGACTATATGTGAACTGCAGTTAAATAAGTGAATATGAGAGTGATCTTTGCAGTAATGAACACCACATGATATACATTTAATAAGCTGTAGTGTTGTTGGTGTGTAAAGGTGATCATTGTGTGGTGAATCTTTTTGACACTGATGCTTATTTTTTCTACCCTTTTCTTTTAGGTTACTGCATGGAATAAAACAGACTACACAACTAAAAGACAAGATGTTGTCGTTAACATTGATACATCACAAGGTTTGCAATAATATGCCACTTAGTTCATAAAAAATTATTTCATGGACCAAGTGAAGAACAATGATGTCTTGAAACCAAAATTTGTAATTTTTTCAAGTCTTTACACTATTTTCTTTTGACATTGGAATCACCATAAGATTACATTGTATTGTGTATTAAAGAAAGATTTAAGTTTAACTTCTTGACTTGTTTTGAATTTATTAGATAAAAAATTGCCTCATTGTTGTTGTTTTTGTTTTTGGTTGTAAAATCTTGTCACGCTGATTTTAGAGTTGTACCCTTAAAAACTTTGACTTGGTAAGAGAGTTAGGGTCACTTTAAATCATATTCTCTATCACAAAAAGAAGAGCAGGCACTGCAAGAATTGATTATATGCCAGTCATGTTATTCTCAGGAATTCTTTAAAATCCAACAAAAATGAAGCTGGAGGAAGATGTTCCTCTGTGAATGACCAGGAATTCCATGTGCTGCATGCCTACAGGAGTTAAGCCTGTGACCTTCTGATTACCTTTGAGCAATTAATGAGAGAATTGGAGATTTGTGACCAGCCAGGCTGATTAACTAGGTCCATGGTGACCACCTTTCTGTATGTTGCAAGGATAGGAATAAAGCTGCCCATTTATTAAAAAAAACTTTACTCACTTATTGAGAAATAAATTTTTGCAACTCAAAGTACTCAATGCAAATTTATATAGGACTTTTATTCACACTTAAATGCAAATAATTCTTACTAATATTTGAATGTGAATTATAGACATTCCACGTTACCAGGCAGAGTTTTTAGTAAAAAATAGCAGTATTGATGAATTCCTGGAGAGAAAGGAAAGTGTGAACTTTGTGGAAAAGGTGAAACAAATTTGGCAGCCAGTCCCTGGTGGAGTGAAAGTAACAGCTGTGGAGTCAAAACTGGACAGAAAAGGAAGGGTACCAATTCCACCACAGAAAGAGGGGTAAGATTAATGTTGCAAAAAACTGTCTAATAAGCTAAATATTTAGAAGTTTTTGTTTTCATTCTGTGTAGGGGACAGAGAATATCCTATTTTTAATGTATTCTGGAGGTCCTGAATTTGACTATAATTATAATAATACTAAGAACACTTTGCAGTACTTGCAATGCTTTTTGTATGTAATGATACTGATAATACTTACATGTACTCTCCCCTTCAATAATTTTATAATGCTGCCAACAAGGTTTGGCTTGACTTGCCATGATTATTATATGCACAATACTTTTGGTCTTGAAATCGCTGCAATATTGAAGTTAAATGGTGTTTTTTAAAATTTTATAAACACGAAGGATTTCTTTGTTTTATTTTTTTAAAAAATAGCTGATAACTTGGTCCTTTTATTTATTCTTCAAAAAAAAAAAGAATGATGTTAGATTGTCAGAATATCCTTAAGAAAAGAAGCCAAGGAACACATTGAAAGAGGTCTGGATTTTTTTTAAAGGAGAAATTAAGATGCACAAGACTGAAATGAAATTTTTGTGACCCATTCAAATCTTGGTCAGAATATCCAGTCATGGAAGAAATATCTGTGTCATTTCCAGGGTCTTTATCGCAGTTGGTGGTGCATCAACCTATGAAGTGCTCAAACAAGAATACAGAGGCTGTGCTGGTTTACGGGATTCATCCAACAGCAAGTTCCCTCCCTTTGATATTGACTGGTGTGAATTTAAGTTGGTGAGGTTTAATCTTTTTTTTTTTTTTTACCAACATATTATTGTCAAGTTAAATGTTTCCATCCTGGTCGCACATCTAAACAATCTTATGGTGATAGGACACTCAGAAATTTTCCTTTGTCCCACACTCATGACAAGACAAAAAACGTTATTTCTCAGCTCAAAACTTACCATCTTTCTCATCCTCTCTGAAACACATGATGCTGTTGACATTGCTGAACCTAGCAATATACTGTACACGACATGTGTCGTATGTGAACTTCATAATGGGCCTTGCTCACCATAGAGTCTCTGTGGCTCTGTGGCAGAGCATCCAAGCACAGAATCCAAAGGCCTAAGGTGCGATTCTTCATGGGGACTCAGAAGTTTCTCTTTGTCCCATGCTTGTGACAAGTCAGAAAAAACATCTTTCTCTAAGATACTTACCTATAGTGAGTAATTTCCAAATGGAGAACTGAGATTCATTGGTTCTTTTTGTTAAAAATAAAAAATGTTTATTGTAAATACTTCAGTCTGTAATTCAACTCTTTTCTGACAGATGGATGTGGTTGACAGTGCTGTTGTTGTCAGTAATGCCACCACAACAGTAGTCAGTGGAGAAGGATATGGGGAATCAACATATATAGCACCAGTGTTTGACTCGTCTGCCAGGGACTTTGGTAGTGACTTTCTCCTTATACTGATCTTGCCGCTTGCCGTTGTTGTTATCATAGCAATCATTCTGGCCATCATCATGTTTTGTTTCCGTGAAGGAAGGTAATCTTTAACATGCTAAGCCAAAATAGTTTTACGGTATCTTACTTTTATCAGAGTCTTTTTGGATCAGTTGTCATGAAAACAAAACCTTGGTTGTTGTTTCCAAGCAGTTTATTCCATTTCCAAAACCATTGCATCTCCAAAGGGTTATATGCTAAACTGTACAACTAATAAAAAAAAGAAAACCATGTGCTCAAACATCCTAGTAACCTAAAAGAAAAATAAATAAATAAATAAAAAATAAAAAAAATAAAAAAAAAAACATGTTTCTGTATTTTGTTCATGTAACAAACTCATAGTGTCCTGTCCAGAAAAACAATGATAAAATTAATGCTCTGTGGTGGTAAAAAAAAACAATCCCAACAGCCAACCAGAACAAAGAAAATTGTCACCAGGGGAGCCAATGAGAACTTGAAGTAAAAGCAAGCAAACTGGCCATAATCCCTGGAGAAAGCTCTTCCAAGTGGATTTAGTTTTGAATGTGACTGTTCAAGAAAGGAGCTGAAGTCTGCTGGAGCAATCACAGAGCGGAGTAAAGCAAAACCAATTTAATGCAATCCTGGATTTACTTTCAATGCTCAATCAATTGAAAATTGTTCTGTAATCCTGCCTGTGGATGATTTTGTAAACTTTAATTTGATTTGATCCACAACACCTCATTAAATCTTGTTCATTTTTCATTTTGAAAAAAATTTTCTTTGACCTGGTCCAGACCAGTCTTTGCTGTTCACAAGAAAGAGGGTTCTCTCTCTCTCTCTCATACCTTAAATTTAATATTTAATTATTGTAGATTTAATAGTTATTAAATTCTGAATTTGAAATGGCCACTTTGTTAGCTACATTTCCGACATTTTCACCATTGTTTTTCAGGCCCAAGAGAGATTCTGAAACTCCAAGGTTTGTATTAAAATAATTTTGACCTATAATTTAACTAGTAGTGGTGGCATAAGCAAATGAACTTTTAATTAAATGTCTGAGTACAAGTTTTAAGACAGGTTTGTGCCATGCAATGAAATGCTGACTTGTATGCAGATGGCTTTAGATTACAGTATGGCAATGTACCCATCTTGGCCTCTTATTCTTATTTCCATCTGGTTTAAGCTAGTTATTATACCTGATTCAATATTAAACACATTTTCCCATGAACAGCTTGAATTGTGGTTTGTCACATTTGGTGACAATGTCCTCTGTATATCTAATAAAAATGTACTCAAGACAATCTTTGTTCTCTCTTACATTACTGACTTAAGCTACATTAACCCAATGACAAATTTTCTTTTTTTGGCTTCTCTATCCATGGTAGTCTGTTTTTGCTCCAAGTGTTAAGCCATGACACTGATCAATGTACAATTCAACAGCATCAACTCATAGCTTACAGAAGAGACTTTCTTCAAAACTTAATGGGAGATATTTAAGAGCCTAGATAAATTTTACAGTAATTATCAAATGTGTTTATTCACAGACCACAGCTGTCTCATCATGACTCCATTCTAAGAGCAACTTTTCGTCTGAGACAACTTTCCCATCAAAATGGTGATGCTGTACCTGACAGTTCAGATGGTGTTCCACAGCCTAAGGACACATCCACACCTTACAAGCAGTGAGTGAAGTTTTAATGTGTTGTTTATCATGAATCAGATCAGAGCAAGAAACCCACTGCTTTTTACTCTATCAGAAACATGAACTTCACTCTGAGGAGAGTTCTGCAGTTGTAGGGCCATGTTGTTTGGCCAGATTATACTGGCCTGGAAATTCTGAAAATGGAATCAAGTGACACATCTAAACTGGCCCTCAAAACTGGAAGTGACTGCAAACACAAATTTCTTTGAAGGCCTTGTTTTAGTATTGCAGAGCAGTTGTAATGTTGGCAAGCTAGTGTTTGGTATTAATTTTTCTCTGCTGAAGTTATAGCTGTCATCTTTGATTTGTACAACAGCAGAAGGCTGGGGAGAGAAAGAAATTTGTACCAAGGGGGTGAGTGAAAGTCAAAAGGAAAGAGAGGGAGTGGGAAGGGCAATAGAAATTGTCTCCTCCCCTCACCATCCACCCTAAATCAAACATGACCGGTTGCATAAAGGATTCCTTGCTCATATTGTTAAGTTGCACTTTTAAGAGACCTGCATTGTAGGTAAGTATTGCAGCAATAGTACTGGTCAGGGGTTTCATTAATGTTTTCTGCAGGAGGGCAACTGGTTTTCACCGGTGGGCAAAACTCTTTGAACTGAACTTCTATATAAGATAAACTTTCCTCCAGATGGTCAAATCAGGTGGGCAAAGCCGTCCTCACAACCAGTCAATTTACCTGGTGCCTGGCCCTTATTGAAACCCCTGACCAGTACATCAGCAGTTACGCTAAAATGAGATGAGAGTAAGGGGCTAAAGATGCCAGACTTACCGGCAACTTTGGCTAGCTTCTAGCTCTAATTGGCAACTCTGTAAAGCTCTCCTTGTTTTGCTCTGCAGAAAACCCCCTCCAAGCCAGCGTGAATATGAACCAGAACCAGAACCTCCCATGGGGGCACCCCCTCCATATCGCCTCCCACCTCAGCCAGGTGTAAATATGTCTGCACCTAATGGAAACAACCAATATTATCCAGGCTCTGCTCAAGGTGACTGAAGCTGGCTTTGTGAGTAAGATTTTTGATTTGATAAATCCCAGAACAGAGGAGTGGAAAACAGGTTGGACAGCCTGCAGGAAGGGTGATCTCGTCACAGCTGAGAAAATGGTTTTTAATTTCAAATTTGTCAGCTATATGGTGTAATTCAGTGCTTCTTTAAAAGACACTTCCACTGCAGTTAATATAGATTTGGAGTAGCCTGCAATCTTATGATCTGTTGGAACATGAAACTTACACATAACATATATGCATATGCATTCTCAGAACACTCAGAGTTCTTTAAAATCTTAGTTGGGATAAACAAAATAAGTCAATCAGAGTTTAACAAAATATGATTTCAGAAAATCATTCTAATTGCTAATGAATTCACTGAGTATAGTGTGGGACAGTAAATCTCTGGTTTTTTTTATCCAACTCAATCAGAGAACACATCCCTTTTAGACTTGGACCTGCATGTACCTTGTGTTGTCGAGTTCATCTCATGCATTAACATAGTTTTTTTTGCCTCTCATTTACCCCTCTGTTTTTGGATGAGCAATTTTCTGGTGAAAAATATGTTAAAAGAAGTTAGAAAGAGATTGAAACAAAGATTGAACCCACAAAGGACAGCTGGGCAGCTAGTCCTTGGTCCTAAGCCATATGAAAAGATTGGTCCAAGGCAAAACCCTTAATATTTTAAACATGCCTGAAAGACCTTTCTAGGCATTTTTAATGTCACTGGGAAAAACTTTTACTAATAATTATCTTACAGTAACATAGTTCTAATTAGTTCAAACATTAATTTTGACTCACTACGTATACATCAAGTTATCAATTTTTTTCATTCATGGTGTTCTCCTGTTTTCCACTCTCATCTTGTATAGCACACTTCAATTCATTTACATCTAACTACTAAAAAAGTTTAACAACCAGAAGCTACTAATGCTTTGGTTCTTAACCCCTCTACACACTAACATTAGTATCTACATGACTCGTACTCCTCTTTATATTTTTCCTTTGGCACTGGATGTCTGGAATAATTTGTTTAGCAATCAAAGCTTCTTAAGTTGGCACTCACTTTTTTTTTTGAATAAAGTAATTCGCTGATTCTGTAAAAATGCCAGAAAACCCGCCCGTTAATGCTGGATCTCAAACAAGGTTCAAGCTCCCTAGTTGTTAATATTTTTGTAATCAAATGTCTACCTGTCACAACAGGTGTAATTTTTAATAAATTATAATGGCTGTAAGCCTTACAGCACACTAAATGTGTCAATATTCCAAAAGAAAATCAAACTAAAAGCTGTCAATCTCTGAAGATCTGTTTTATGTTAGTCCTGGTTCAGTTCCTTTGAGTTGTTGTACTTTTTTAATTGTTTCAATATTATTAATTGCTAATTATTAATTGCTAATTATCTTCCTTTGCAGATGTATCAAGGCATCAGCGACCACCTCCATTTATGAACAGTGGGAATGTACACTGACCATAAAAACATTTATTGGAAATAGGCCTTTGGTTATCAGTGGCTTAAACTTTGCCAACCTTGTGCATTAATTTGTATTTTTGTACCTTTTGTAATAGTGGAAAGTTTGAGGTATCAGAAATTTTAGTAACATTGGAAGATTTAAAAAACACAAGGTGAATCAAATGGGTCAATGGGATGCACAGAATGCAGAAATGCATGTGCACAGAGTAGTGTTAACCTTTACATTTTAACATCAGTATGCATATTCTCCATACTGTTTTCTAAACATTTTCTGAGGTGCTGAGGAGAATTTGTTTAACAATCAAGAGCTTCTCTAGTTGGTGATCATTTCCATTATTCTCATGACCTTAATGTGTGATTCAGGGGTGATATTGTAAGGAGAGATTAGATGCTAGTCACTCCTGGGGTAGCCTCCTACACAAACGTTCTTTGGGCTCGTCACGCAATCTTCCTCCCCCATGAAGCCACGTGGGGGAGGAAGATTGTGTGACGAGCCCAAAGAACATCTGCGTAGGAGGCTACTCCTAGGGTTTAAAAGATTCATCTCCTGTGAACTACTTAATTTGTATCAGTAAAGGTTGCTATGGACTACCAATAGCAGTTCTTTCCCAGTTGCATCTTGCTTTCTAGTTTTCAGGAAATGATTTTGTTACACTGATATTTTTTCATTGGTTCAATGGAGAAAAGAAGCTGCTCCTGGTAGTGTAATGTTGCCACTGCATAACCAATGTAGAGTAACTTTGCTAGTATAAAGCGGCTTTCTTGTATGTAAAAGAAGGGAATCTCTGAATAATTTAACCTTTGTTAGTGTGGTGTGCGTACTAAGTTTATAATAAACAGGTTATATTTTGTATCTTCTGGTGTCTCCAGTTCTTCTGTTCAGGTGAAAAAAGTCAGCATTTTAGCCAAGTGGCTCACCCAACCAATTCTTCCTCTGGTCTTTGTTGCATAAAACAACTAGAAGTATTGCTACCCTGGATGTGATGCCAGTTCATCACAAGTTACTACCCCTCTCCCCCTACCTTCTGAAGTTTAGACAATAATTATTAACCTCTTAAAACATGGTTGACTGTAGTTTAGCATAATATGGATGTCAGCTCAGTCACAGAGACCATTACTGACCATTTCTACAACAACTGTTGAAGATCAATAAATTATGCCCTATAATACCAATCATGAGGTCAAGATGGCTGGATTTTGGCCAAGTTCTTTTTTGCCTTTTAAATGGACGAAGTCAAGGTCCATAAAAACAGGGAAAAAAAAAGAACAAGACCAATATCCAACCATCTCAACCAAACAAGCTTGGTCAAAAAAGGATTTCACTTTACAAAGAATTAAGATCTTGTTTATTTTGAAAGACAGGATAGAAAGCCAACTGCTTTTGTAGTACAATAAACCTCCAGGAGTCATTTATGTCTTCTTTATTTTGACTGTGTCCACTGCTTTCAGCGACTCCATTGCTGACAATGTCCAAAAATTATGAACATTTTCGTGAGCTTGCTCTAAGCAATTTTATTTCTCGTGCAGGACCCAAAGTGAGCCAGATGGGCACCTCTGGCCTGCTAGGGTAGTCAACAGAACACAGGATTTGCTTCATATTGCCCATGGGCATCCCCATGGGCATCCCCAAGGGCAACCCCACAGGCAACCCCATGGGCGACCCCATGGGTGACCCCATGGGCGCTGCCAGCCATATAATCACTGTAGACACTATGAGAATAGAATAACTCATTGCTGCAGTGATTCTAGATTTATTTTATGAAAAGAAAAGTTATGAATATCATTACCACTTGACTGAGTTTCTTTTGAAATTGCACAATGGATAGTTAGGCTAAGAAGAGTGATTGATTTTTCATTTCTCCTTCCCATCTTCGACTTTTTTTAAGAAAATGTTAAGTATAAGAACAAAGGAGCTGTTTGTCCCTAGTTTCTTATGGGACTCCATAAGAGGCCTGAGTTAAAAAATTTTGCATCAGTTTGGCCAAACATTGCTATCAAAACTTCATGGTGAATGTTTTTCAGACGGAGGCTTGGAAAACCAACTGGAAAGCATGTAAAACATTGTGCAAAAGGGCTCACATTGTTTCACAAGTTTTCCAACTGCGTTACTTGCTTTGACTAATGATTCCCAACTATCTTACAGAAAAGCTCACAAAACCCCTCCCACCCCTCCCTTGAAACCCTGCTCCCCTCATCATCCCCCCACGCACCATGCCTCTTCCCCGTGCACCCGGTCCTCCCCTTGTGGCAGTATTACCACCCCCACGTCCTCCACCATCTCCCTTGTGTTTTCCTGTGGGAGATTTAGGTCTGAGTGTCTCAATTTCTTGTGTGCTGCCAACAATAAGGTCTTCTGGTCCACTAGAAAAATACGAGTTGTACAGATCCGCAGAGAAGTTTGAACTTGAGAGACTGGGCCCCACTGATAGCCAGCCTAGGAGACATGAAACAGAAACACAAAATTCATCATCAAACCTCAAAATTTTTTTTTCATCCCATGCTTGTGAATAGAGCAAGAAACATCCTATCTATTTCATTACCAAGCTAAAAATCCCACGAGTGACCAAGACAGAATTTCTCCAAACAATATCAATACAATGACAAGCAGATAAGTAATGGGAATATCGAAAAAAATCTGTTAGGGGATTAATAGTTCATCCAATAACAAATTCTACGAACTAGCATCATAAGAATTATATGGCAGACAGTAAGGAGAACTACTAATGAGATCTTGAAATTGAAATTGTTTATTTAATTGCACACAAGATGAAGTACTAGCCCAGCTCACAAGCAAGGAATCCTAAGGTCTGAAAGTCACTTCCTCGTGTGGAATAAGAATTTTGTCTTAGTTTATCCAATGCTTGTGACAACATAAAATAAATTTTGTTCTTTAATCAGAAAAATGGTTTAACCCTTTCAGTACCAGAAGTGATTAACATGTTACTTCGCCCAATAATATCCATACAATGTTCAGCACACAGGCAATGAGAATACTAAAACTTATCAGGTACAAGTTGTAATCTTGATCTAACACCAAGTTCTTGTAACTAATTTACAAGGAAATGTCTAGCATCTAGTGGGGAGAATTAACAATCAGATCTTAGGAGCTTAAACTACAAAGTAGCCTGTGAAGAAGCTAGTGCATGGTTTCTTTCAAATCCAATATATATATCTTATTAATCAAGCGCGAGGCCCTTACTGGGAGAATATTGGCCCGAGGTCCGCACAAAAAAGACCGAGGGCCGATATTCTTCCAGTACGGTCCCGAGCAAGCTTGGTTAATAAGAGATTTATTATACGACTGAAGTTCAAAGGGACACAAGTGCGGTATCATTCGGGACCATTCGGGACAGTGCCTGGTCCAATACTGAGAGAATATTGACCGGCAATAGAGCATTTTGATTGGTTGATTTTAGTTATTGGCCCTCTGACTGCCCGAGTCGTGTAATAAAATATC